CTTCCTCTTTCATTTTTTTTGTTTTTCTTAAAACACTTCCCTTTTCTATTAAAAAACCACTTTTACCCCTACTTTTTCATACCCTACCTATCACATCATACTTTTTCACTAACAACTAAACCATCACATCTTACTTTTACCCATCACATCAAGGGCAAAATTGGAAAGTCAACTACAATTTAACACTTCCTTATTCTTCTCCAAAGTCAAAAGGGGAATTGTTTTGAGAAACGGAGGTCCCTCCGTTTCTTAAAACCCTTCCTCTTTAATTTTTTTTGTTTTTCTTAAAACACTTCCCCTTTCTATTAAAAAACCACTTTTACCCCTACTTTTTTCATACCCTACCTATCACATCATACTTTTTCACTAACAACTAAACTATCACATCTTACTTTTACCCATCACATCAAGGGCAAAATTGGAAAGTTAACTACAATTTAACGCTTCCTTATTTTCCCTCAAAGTCAAAAGAGGAACTCTTTTGAGGAACGGAGGTAGTATTTTTGTTGTCTCAAAAAATGTTTTCTTATCTATTAAAAAATCACTTGTACTCCTTACTTTTTATATCCTACATATCACATAATATCTTTTTACTAATAATTTACATATCGTATCTTACTTTTACCCATCACATTAAGAGTATTTTTGGAAGATGTTTTAGAGACAGGAAAGTATATTTTATAAAATTTGATGTTTCACAACTACGTTTCAATATGAATAAATTGATATTAAATTCGTATCATAATATAATATATTTTTTTCACATTCAGAAGCAAACTTTTCAAAATATGACCAAGAAAAATCAAATGAGAACGATCATTTTCGGACAAAAGAAGTGCTAAAATATACCTCGTATTATAATATATAAATAAAAAAACAGGTGATTTTGGTAGGTCACAGTGCAGGGGGGCTGAGCGTAACGGATGCAAGTTATAAGTATCCGGAAAGGATAAGGGTAGCCATATATTTGGCTGCAACTATGCTCAAAAATGGATTCTCTTCTCCACAAGACCTCAAAGACGTGAGTACAGTCCTAGCCTCTACATTTGGCTGCTTTCCATATTTCATGGGCAATCCCATGACATTGTCGGAACATATACTCCCTCCGTCCCATAAAGTGTTACCAATTTTGACTAAAGTTGAAATTAAGGGAGAGATAATTTTGTGTTGATTTTCCAAAAATACCCTTGATGTGATGGGTAAAGTAGTATGTGATGTGTAGATTATTAGGAAAAAAGGATGATGTGATAGGTAGGGTTTGAAATAGTAAGGGGTAAAAGTGGTTTTTTTATAGAAATGGGTAAGAGATTATGGAACGCAATTTTTTTGAAACGTGTAAATCTTTTTGGGACGGAAGGAGTAGAAATAAACTTTTTCTGTTTCGTTGATACTGATTTCTGTTGTACACTCACTCACTTGGAGTTCTTTCGATGCTCGAAATTAAAATTAATGATTCATACCTTTAACTTCAACCCCAAACCTCCTACCACACACCACCTTACTCCTACCTCTGCACGACTATACCCGGCCCTTCAAATGTGAGGCTATATATTCACATTTGGAGGAATAAAAGGGAGGTCTAGATCGGGGTTGTGGGGGTCGGGTCGGGTTGGGGTGGGGTAAGCATTAGTGTTGCAACCTGAGCATCGGAGATGACGGAGAAGCTCCAAATGAGTGTATATCATCAATTTACACTTGAAACTAGTATCATCTTATTTTACTGTTCAGTGGTCAAATTTTTTATTTTTTCTTTATTTTGTACCATTGTTTAAACAATTTGAATTAAAAAAACTTACTTAAAGGAAAACTTTGGGACTGAAAAGGTAAATAAAATGTTTATTTCGTGATAGATAGAGTATTTTTGAAGAAAAAAATGTTGATGAAATTTTGTGGGAATAATTACGAAGTAAATTACCAAAGATTTGTGATTCTCGATGAATAAATACAAATTATATGAGTCACCCTTTACCCTTTTTAGATTTTCAAATATAATGAAGATCATGCCATGTGAGGAGAATAAATATAATAAATATATATTTTCTTTTATATAATGGATCATAATACATGTGACGGGAATGTAACTTTTTCCGTTTGTAGTTTCCACCAACTTCATGTGACCATAAATATATTAAACAAATCGACAATAAAAAAAAACATACCATAAAAACACATACATTCCCTCTCTAAAAACAGACCTACTCTTTTTCTTCACCAAAAAAAAACTTTATTATTTTTTTACTGTTTGGCTTTATGTCTTGATAAAAATATTACGAGTAAAAAGTAAAAAAAAATACTGAGTAGTAACTGAAATATATTTCGATGATATAGAAATGATAAGAATTATACTTACATCACACAACATTCATTTTTAAAAAGAAAAAAATTGTAGATTATAATTCACTCTCACATTTTGACCTTTTAATACTTTCGTTTCAGTGTATTTTACTACCTGCCCCCTTGAACCCCGCTTAGGGACGCTGCCCTCGAACCTCCGCCAAGGGGGTGCTGCTCCCTTGGAACCCTTGTTAAAACGAGACTTTTGTCATCACAAAATCAATGAAGCGTGCACTTCGCACCACCAAACTTTTTTTACGATTATAATGATATCATTAGTCAAATAGTTAATCCAATTACACTATAATATACTCTCTGAGGTATAACAAAATGAGTTTATCCCATTTTTCATATAAAATATTTCAAAAAGTAATTTAATTTTGATAATATACATTGTAGCCAAGTACTCCATAATATTTATTGAAGTGATGATCAAGCATCCAATTGAATTTTAATAATGTTAAATTTGATAAACACACTAGAAGAGAGGGACTAATATTTGGTTTAATTACCAAACATGCCAATGTCCGGTATGAAATGCAGGGAATTCCAGATTTATCAGACTTTGGTGGAGCGGATGATGTGTACGATATGGGCTTCGGGTTTGGTCGAGATGGGCCTCCGACAAGCGCAGTTGTCAAGAAAACACTACAAAGGAAAATCATTTACCAAATGAGCCCAATTGAGGTAATTTTTTTTGCGTATGATAAATCGATACATGAAATTTGATCAATGTTTCAAGAGTTCGTTTGATGATTTTTAGAGATATGATAAGCTATGTACGTTCTGAAATTTGAAAAAATTATTATAAATTTTGAAATTTGAGATAAATGTTTTGAGAACAAACCGATTTCAAATTGTAGCACTCATATCGGGTATATGTCCGATATCAGTGCTGCCTTCTGAGATCAATGTTTGGATATATCCCCTAATTTCAATTTTGAATCTAGAATTTGATATTTTAGATATCGAAAGCTATATCTACTTTATTCACCAAACATGCTCTAAGTAAAAATTATAGAGTATACTGTATCTTATTGATGGGTCATAGATATATATTGGTCTAGCCTATTGAAGATGGGACTTTTAGGTCTAGCCCAACAAAGAAAGCCCTAAGTTAAAAGGAGGAGACAAGCCTGAGAAAAAGTGTCGAAATGGGCTCCTAGTCAACTTTAGTGTTTGGCCTCAGCCCACAAGGCCCAAATTCTTAAGCTATAATGAGCTTATCCAAATATCCGCTTTGTCTTTGGGCCTTTTGTGTTGGCTGAAGCCAACAACTCTTGGTTGGTCTTAGGATTTATTCTCTTCAATTTATTTAATTAGTTTTGAATTGAACCAATTGAATTCTAATATGATTTGTAGTTATATTTAATATGTTTCTTGTATCAAAAAATACTAAAAATTATTTTTTATTCTGATCTGATTCCAATAAAAACAAGTAATAAATGGAAAAAAATCTGTGAGCTAAGGCGATCTAGTTTTTTTTTTGTATTTTAAAATTAATTTTCGTTATTGCATTGCCTTATTTACTTATTCCAATATTACCATGAAAAATCCAAGATTATTCATTACTTAGATATTCGATATTTACTCTATATATGTATATGCTATATAGGATTCAATGTTGGCAGAAATGTTGTTGAGACGAGGACCGATTAAAGCATTAACGAGCGCTAATTTCACGGAGTTAGACAATAATGTAGAAAAAGTTCCTCGGATTTATATAAGAACAAGACAAGACAACGTCGTCAAGGTGGAGCAACAAGATTCGATGATCAACAAGTGGCCGCCGGCGACGGTCTACTCTTTGGATAGTGACCATAGCCCTTTCTTCTCCGCCCCTTTTGCCCTCTTTGGGTTGTTGGTCAAAGCAGCTCTTGCTTATTATGGTGAATGTAAAATCAATTAATTATTCTTCTTTTTTTCGTCTGAGTATAATCATCATGTTTTGGATGACTTGCAAAATAACATTTTCTCTTGATTATTTCTGATTCTTTTAAACAATTAGAAATTAGTAAATAAATAAAAAGTACAATTTACATATTTTAAAACTGCATAACAAATGTATAAAACAAGATGTGACATAAATAATTTATTTCATGTGACGGTCAACGAAACGTGCAAACAAAAACGTAGTAGTATTGGTGACAATGAATTCAAGACGAAGGGATTAGTACTTAGATATTACATGCATCCCATAAAAAATATTACTAATCTCGTCCTTATTTAAATCATTCGTCTCGGTTTATAATGTTTGACTGAATATTTTTTCAATCGAATCGATTTGAAACCTAGTGTGGAATCAAAAATTAATTTTTTTCATATTAAAAAAGTACATCAAAAGTTTTACGAGATAAAAAATGACATGATTATATTATTTTTCTCAAATATGTAACAAATTTAATAAAATTTAACCATGTAAATAATAAAAAATCTTTTTTGGGACAAAGAAAATATGTATTGGAAGTGAGAATTTTTTTAGCCAATATTTTTTCTCAAAGGTTGTTGTTTTGTGTTTGAGACCAGAAAAAAAAAGTACGGAGTATGAAACTTTTTACTCAATGTATCTCACTTTTGTATTGTTCTCGTTTGTTGTTAACACTCCTTTGAAATTTCATTATAAATTTGGAACATTTTTATTTTTATTTGAATGGAATAAATTGTGAATATACGGAGTATTTCTTATAATAAAAGATGTGAATATAGGTTGATTGCGAAAAATGTTACTTCGTGATTGTAATTATTATTACCTTTGTCTCATAAAATTATATACTTTATTTCTTATTTTCAAAATGAATATTTGAGTATACAAATGGTAAGATTTTATATTTTGAAACTTTTGTTGGAATATTACGAAATTACGAGAGTACATTATTGATCAAGACCATTGGTCAAAAGTCAATATCTTCAACCGAGAAGGTCAACAGCGTGACTCGATAAACTCAAAAACTTCAAATTTTCCTTTTGTTATATATTTGTGTGTTTTATATTTGAGAGTGTCTAAAATGACACACCATTTACGTATACTTTCATGGTAGTGAAGCGGCTTGGGTGGGAGGTTCACGAGGGAAGCGGAGTATTATTTTTACGAATAGGACACTATAGGTGTCTAAAACAAAATAATGTAAGCAAATGACATCGGTGTTAGTAGTGTCATTTTAGACCTTTTTTTATATTTATTCTTATTTAAATTTTCTTTTGACATTAAAACCAACTATACAATCTTTCATGTCCGAAAAATAATGAGACTGGAGAGTGTATTATGTTTCTTGTCAAGAACAAAAATTACAAGATTAGCTTTGGTAATGAACTCTAATAGTATTACGCAAGGAGCAATTAAAACAATCACATTAACAACATTTACTTCTTTAATACACTAATAATAAAATAAATAGCATCAGTGTAATATACTAACTATTACAAAAAAAATAGGACTGATGATTTATATGCTCATGCAATTCCTTGTTTGGTGGTCAGATTTCGGAAGATAATCCCTCCGAAATCTCCCAACCAGACAGGGTCTAATAAGGGTTGTCATATGGACCTTTGGTGAAGAGTCTCTCTGGGGTTGGCGTGTACGACCCTCTAGACCGGTCGGCCGAGGACGGACGGCTTCCGTCCTCGAGCTGTTGCACGACATCCTCGATCATCCTCACGACTTCGTCCATGGCGGGCCGCATGTCTTGCGGCTTCGCCACGCACGCGATGCCAATCTGGAGCACTGCCACCATCTCCTCCTCCACATTGCTCCCGCACCTCAGCAACTCCACGTCGAAGACCTCAGCGGTCCACTCCTCGCGGACGACGGACCGGACCCACCTCGGCAAGTCGACCACTTCATCGTGAATCGGCGACTTCCCCGTTAGTAGCTCGAGGAGGAGCACGCCAAAGCCGTACACGTCGGATTTCTGCGTGACCTTTCGGGCCTCGATCATCTCGGGGGCCCGGTACCCGGGCCCACGGTGTTTCACGGCAATGTAGTTCATCAAAGGGCTCATCCCGAAGTCGGAAACGCATGGGGTGAGGTTAGCGGTGAGGAGTACGTTGGAGGACTTGATGTTTCCGTGAGTGAATCTTACGCCACCTTCGGCGTGGATATGGGCAATCCCCCTTGCCGCCCCGAGGGCGATGTTCAGCCTCGATCTCCAGTCTAGAGGACTTCTATCTGAGCTTCTATTTCCTGTTAATTATACAAGTGAAAAAATCAATCTTTGTGAATGACCTTATGGAAACAAGAATCAAAATGGAAACTCATAAATCAACAAGACTCTGATACAATGTTAAAGAACCGGCTACAACAACAACAACAACAACAAAGTAGAATCCCGCGAAAATGTTTTATACTCTAAGACAATGCAAGAAAAATGTTTAAGGATTGCATTCAAAGATTTGAATTTGGAGAAAATCATACCATGAAGAGCTTCAAACAAGCTGCCAACAGGCATGTACTCATGAACAACAAGCTTCTCATCCTTGGAATAGTAATAAGCCTTTGGCGACAATATGTTCGGATGGCGTCCGATCCTTCCAAGAAGCTCCAACTGTTGTTCAAACTCTCTCTTCCCAGCTCCAACCTCTCTCAGCCTCTTCACGACCACCATTGTCGTCTCGTCCAAACACGCCTTGTACGCTGTTCCATAACTGCCCTTCCCAAGGACCTCAGCAGAAGCCCTCAACAGATCCTCAAGATCAAAGCTGTAAGAACATCCCTCAAAGAACACCAGTTTGTTCTTCTCTGCGTCTTGGACCCCACTCCCGAAATCCTCGGGCTTCTCGCTCCTCCCGCCGTTGGCGACCTTCTCTTTCGCCTCACTCCCGTCGGAGACTCTCTTCTTGAAGAATAAGAAGGAGACCATCAATGCCAAGAAAGCTACGAAAGAACAGCATCCTATAGCAATGGCAATCACAGTCCCTACACTGAGCTTCTTCTTCTTCTTCTTAAAAATTGGATCTTTTGCTATTTCTCTGGTTGGATGGCACTGAGAGAGTGGTTTCCCACAAAGATGAGAGTTACCCAGAAATGAAGAGGCTGGAAAGTTCTGCAAGGAATCCGGGATCAAACCGTTTAGCAAGTTGTGACTCAAATTCATGAACTTTAGCTTTGAGGATTCAAGATTTGGGACAGAACCAGATAAGAAGTTATTCTGAAGCAACAAGACAGTTAAACGTGTCAAGTTCTTGATTGTGGCTGGGATTTCTCCAGTAAAAGAATTTCTGGATAGATCAATTGAAACAAGCCTGGGAGAGAATGAAGAAGGGATTTTTCCAGTAAAGTTGTTATCTTGAAGATAAACGTATCGAAGGGTAGGGATGGAGAGTATATCAGAAGGAAGAGCTCCACTGAGATGGTTTCCTCTCAAGCTAAGAACCCTCAGAGCATCAATCTTTCCAATAGTCCCTTCTGGAATAGGACCAAAAAAACCAAAAGCTGGAAGATGGAATCCTATCACTCTTGTCCCATCTTTATTACACTTAATTCCAGCCCATTGACTGCAGATCAAGGAGGATGAATTCCAGTTGAGCTTCCTGCGATGGGGAACAGAAGCAGCAAAGTCTAGTAGAGCTTTTCCATCAGATTCAAGAGATGCAGAAGTCCCATGAAGAACTGCTAGGAAGCAGAAAACTAAGGCAAAATGTGATGGTAATAAGACTTTGAGCCCCATTGTGTTTTTCTTAATGTTGATTCCTCTTCTAGGTGGGAGCATTCTGTTTGACAGACCAAGAAGAAGATGAAACAGGTGATAATCAGTATGAATAGTACAGGAACATGAAGAAATTATAGTATCCGGAAATACTAGATTTGGCAAACAAGATAAAAAGAGGAAAAAACAAAAAAAGCAACAAAAAAAAGCCATTCTTCCCACCTTTACCATGTTTTTATATTTGAGGTGTGAATTTCAATTTATCTGATACTTTGAAAGTGTATACTTAAAGCAAGAGCACTAAAGACCATAAAAGTAATTTTGAAAGTATCGTAAAGATAAATAATTGGTAAAAGGCTGGTGTAATCATCCCAAGGAAATTATGAAAACAAAACCTTTTGAATTACAGCACTTGGAAGACAAAGATATTGTGATGTAAAAACAAGGGGTTCCTTTGATCTATTGGGAAAAGAAAAAGAATTGCATTCCTAAGGGCCAAAGTTTTCAAGAGTTGAGTATAAAAAGTTGAAAATTTTGCAGTTTCTTGGTCACTAAAAGTTGAAGATTTACTGCATTCATTGCACTTACCAGAGAAGGGTAAAATGGCAGCCTTCAATAACTTTTTCATCAATGGTAAGTTGGTAACACTTTTTCTTACCAGAAGATATAAAATTTTGAGGGCATTATAAACAAGCATTAAGACTAAGAGGCATAAAAAAAAGTGGTAAAGAAAAAGTTGGTGCTAAAGAATCTGGGACCAAAGACTGAAAGAAAAAAATGGAAGGCATAGTTAAAAGCAAAAGCAAAAGTTGAGCAGTTTCTTTGTTCAGGATTACACTATTCCTTGAGTGATAAGGGTGGAATTATATGCAAACAAATTTCTTTCTTTTTTTCTTCTTTTAAAGTGGGACAAAGTGATATTCCAGTCTTACTATGGCATTATTGAGTGTCTCCAATCATACAATTACACTATTAAAACTCCTATTTTGGTTTCCTTCACAATGGGGGTTTCCTAATTTTCATTTCACATGTCCAGTACAGGAAGTGTTTGGTTAAATGAAAAGAAAATTTTAGGACAATTTAACCCTCAATTTTTTCACATACCATTTTTTATATAGAGTATCATTACTGTGACTCACATAAATTTTTACATTTGTTTCGACTTCAATATCAATTGCACAATTTAACTTTTAATATTCATGTGTTCCTCCCCTCGTTTTCCAAAAAATAACAGGATAGAGAAAGTAATATTAATATGTTTCAAATGAAATACAAGGACAAGTGATTAAGGACATAAATGGGAAACTGCCAAGATAAGTCACACAATATCTTAAGAAATCCAAGGTAATCAGATTGACTCCAACACAATTACCTCAGAATCTCAAATCTCAAATATATTAAAGTTCAAGACAAACTCATTAACAAAACATGATCTCAATCCTAACATTACAAATCTAATCTCAGATTACCCAAATCAAACCCCATAATCAGTTAATTTATCCCATCTGAATCAATCTTTGCCCGAAAAAAAAAGAAAGACAAACACAAACAAACTAGATTTGAAGAGATTTAGAGAATTGAAGCTTACAATTAAAAGGGCAGCTGAAAAATTGAATCTTGTCTCTAAAAATTCAAGAACATGCAAGCTTTGATTTTGCAGCTGAAAAGTAGAAGATGAAATAGTGGATCTACTTGTAATAGCCACTATATATTTACAGTTCTATGTATATATGTGCTTCAAGAAGCAAAAGAAACTGACAAACGTCTATAAAATGAGGAGTTAAGAATGGCAATGAATAGGGATGTTTGAAAAGGAGCTCAACGGCACTCTACCCAGAAAAAATGTTATTCTCTAGCATCAAATCGAAGAAGAAGAACCAAACACTTCCTTACAATAAAAGTTATAAATACAGAACCAGAAGAAAATAATTTCAGTTTTCTGGTCTCAATAATAGACTAATAGTCGAGCGGCTATGTCGGCTCAAGCATTGAATTCTTTTAAGCATGCGATGCCCGAATTAAAAGTCCCATAAAGATGTTTGTTTGTTTGTTCACAGTAACAATAAAAAGAAAAGAAAAAAAAGAGAAGAGGATTGAGGAAGAATTTTGATGAGCCAAATTGATGGAGGAAGTGGTTTTGAGCAAAAAAAAAAAAAAAAAGAGCAGAGCAAGAAGAGGAAGAAGAAGAATGCAAGGAGATAATGGGAAAAAGAGAGGTTGCAACGGCCATTTTCGTTTTCAGCAATAGGATTTCTTCATTAATGAGGGGCTTGTGAGATTTGGATTTAGGATATTAGAATTTTTTAAATTCCCACTATTTCTCAAACTTTTAAATTTTTTACTTATGAAGTTTTATCATTTTTTTCTTGAAAAATATAATAGACTTTGTTTCTAAGATCATGTTCACTCTAAAACGTTTGAAAATCGGGGCTTCAAACTTTCTCTCCCTGCCACGTCAGCTTTAACTTACACCAAAAATTCACTAGAAATGGGTTTGAAGCCCCAGGGCTTCAAACTATACATCTTCTAAATCTAAATTAATAAATTTAAATTAATTTATTATTTAATTATATTGAAACACAAATACAAAAAAAATACATTCATTAAATTTAAAGAAATTGAAATGATAATAATTTAAAATTTAAAAAATTACATTCATTAAAATAAAAAAAATGACAATAGTAAAAAAGATACATTAATAAAAAACTAAGGTAAATTATATTTCACCTTGATCTCTCTTTGTCTTTGCTCGTAGATCATCCGTTTGAAAACCGACAACGTAGAAAGGTCGGTTTCCATGATTTTGAATAAAAAATTACATTCATTAAATAAAAAATTACATTCATTATTTAAAAAACTAAATTAATTAAATAAAAACATTACATTCATTAAATAAAAAAATTACATTCATGAAAAAATAAATAAAATACTTGAATAATAATTTTTGTTAAAAAAGATGATAGATAGAGAGAAATTTGTATTTGTGTTGAATTTTTTTTAAAAAAAATTAAATTAAATTTATAGAGAAAAAAGAGGAAAAAAGTGGAGAAAAACGAAACAAGAAGGCGTGATATGCCTTCAAACCGCGTCAAAAATTTGACGCAAGTATTTTAACGCACTTTTAACGGGGGAGGGGGGCGGTGTTTAACGCCCCTATGCGTCAAAATGGTGATAAAGCTGCTCAGCATTAGAAGTAGTACCAGTGCCCTTAGAGCATGAACAATGACAAGTAAGAAATGGAATGTCACACCATGACATGGAATATTTTAGCCAATTAAAATCAATTCAGTCATCGTGTGACAAATGAGTGGAATTACTTGCCTTACAATGGCAAGTCATTCTTTTTATTATTTTTACACCTTTTTAATGTATTTTAATTAATAAAAATGATTTTAATTATTTATTTGATCATAAAAATACTTCTATTACATTTATTTAAAAATAGAAGTATTGTTTTTCCTTATTATTCAAAAAGATTAAAGAAATTTTACTTTTCCTTATTAAAAAAATTTAAAAATATGTTATCTAATTTATTTAAATGCCTTACAAAAAATAAAAGCATTTTTGTATAAAAAACATCAATCCATCCGTATCCTTTTCTTCTTATTCCATTGATTGCTACACCCCATTTCTTCAAAAAAAGAAAAGGAAAAAAAAAAGAAAAAAAAGAACCTACTTGCCTCGCACATGCCTCACTCACCAGGGTGGAATGCCTATTCTTCTCCTTGCTAATCGAGGAAGTATCTGATGTGGCAGGGCGAGTCAGAGGAAGACCTCGCCGTTGCATATGCTCTTATGTCAATGGAACCGCCCAAGAATTCGGAATGTCAATATCACTCATTTTCTTTGGTTGGGATGTGGAGGATCCTGTTTTTAGGGTCAATTTTGTCAACCAATTTTGTGTCTGTTTACAAAAGTTGTTCTCAAAAGAGCATGTACTCCACTTCTCTTAATTCTTTGTGTCATTTGTTTGAGTGAGTGTAGGCATCAATTGTTTTCAATGGCGGGTCCAAGGGGCAACCAATCCTCTTGTTGAAATCTATTTTATACCAAAATGCAAAATAATTTTTTTTGGATGTTCTTCAATTTTTGAGATATAAATTGGATCTTTATTTTAATTATTCGATTATTCGAATAAATTCATACGTTATTAACTCTTTTAAAACCAATATATGTTAGAAATAGCGCATACTCTAGCCTTATAATGCATCCAGGCAAACACAAGCGTGAATTATGACTTAGCGCGTATAACCTCTGCCACGGATGATGAGTATGAGTCGNGTTAGGGGGGATAGGAATCATCAATTTGTGAACGGAGCTCCGTAGGGTGGCAGTGGCTTCCATGGCCACTGGAATCCAGTAGCCATGGAACCGGGTCATAATAATAATAATAGTAACAATTATAATTACATTAATATTAATAGCAACAATAATAATAGTAGTAATAATAGTAACAATTGTAATAATAATTATAATCATAATAGTAATAGTAATAATAATACTAATAATAATGTTAATAATAATAACAGTAATAATAATACTAAGAAAAATAATATTATTAATTTTGTTTAGATTTAGTCTGATCTAATTTTAATAAAGATAAGTAATAAGCAAAAAAAATAAGTTGAACATAATTTCTTTCTCATTTTTCCCTCCACATCATCACATTCTCCCCTTAATTTCCTCCCATTAGTGAAGCTATGAGATAAGTGCTCTTCAAGTTGTGCTTTAATCATATCAAAATCCTCACTAGGGGTGGGCACGGATCAGGACGGTCCGGATTTAAGTTGTTCCACGTCTTGTTCCGTTATATATAAACGGTTCAGAACGGTTCAGATTACAATCTTATCCCGGTTTGTCCCATAAAATTCGGGATCGGAACAAACCGGGACGGATTCGGGTCGTTCCACTTTGTCCTAATACCGAACATAAGAAGGTGGGTACTCAATCCAAAAGTCACAAAATGTCATAAATAAAAGTCATTAACTCCCAAAGACATCCAAAAACTAGTTGTGTACACCAAGCAATTAGCCACTGTCCACTGAATATTTACAGAATTGTGTATTAAAACTTTAAAAGTGAATTAGCTTAATAATGGGACGGAATTGGGCTCCGGAGTCTGGACTTTGGAGTTAAGACCAAACAAATTTAATAAATTTTGGGTTGAAACTTGAAGTTAACTTAATTAGGCTTTGTTTGGTAACAGCGTTTTCGATTAGCGTTAGCGTTTTGGATAAAATTTTAACGGTGCAGATTAATTTTGAAAACACTAACGCTAAAGGCTACCGTCGGATAGCTTTTTCAAAACGCTAACGCTAATCTCTGACGCTGATGCCAAACGGGGCCTTAATTAAAGAATGAGTGTATATAATTAGAATTATATATTAATAGAGTAGATAAAACGGAACAAACGGAACGGATCGGTATAAATTTAAGTTGTCCCGCTCATGTCACATTTGATAATGGAACGGAACGGGTTCGGGATAAAAAAATAGAGTCCCAATTATTCGGTACAATTACAAAACGGATTCGGGATTTTTCAGAACGGTCCAACGGGAACGAATTTCATGCCCACCCCTGATCCTCACTATTCCCTCCCTCCCTCTGAAGGTAAATCCTCCACAAAATTCCAAGAGTACCCTACCTGCGCTTGCATCATGGCCTCAAAGACAAGTTCTCCATCTATCTTTTCGTCTTCTGGAATCAAATCCTGCAAATAAATAAACAAGACTCTTTATTAACTAAATTCTATGCTCTACTTCTAGAGAGTTCATCAAATAATGTGTTCGGCAGGTGTGTACCTCCATTGCAATCTCTGCATCCTTAGCATCTAAATAACATTCACCCTCAATAGAAATAATCACCTCTTTAAGTGTAAACGTTTTCAAGTAAACGGATGCCGCCGGACTTGATTTCCATATATTTTTAATATTTGCACCGTCTTTGCCAATTAGATAATCAATATATGACAGGGGAATTCGTTTGTGGTCGCAAACCTACAAAATGAGAAAAGTTTGGATTAATCAATGTATTGCAAAGCAACCTTGCAAGAGAGGGAATGAAGATTGTACAGTTGTTCATCTACACCACACTCTGTTTGGGTGAATGACTTTCTTTTGTTTTTTTTCTTCCGCTCCCTGCCGCCGTCATACCACCTCAAACTCGCTAGAAAATCAACCTGGTCCGATTCCGGTGAGACCAACGCCATTCTCTTCGTCTTGAGACGAGGATCAAGAATATCTAAATCATTTTGTCCAATTTGGCCTGTAACTCCTTCAATTTGAATTTTTCCACTCGAAAAAACCCTAAAATTCGAAATTGAGTCCAAAATTGGGGATTTTGCAAATCGTCATCAAATCTTGCAATTGAGGAGTCCTTGGGGATCACCGAGATGCCAAGAACACATTGGAGGGGATGAGCGGCGTCAATTTGGCCGGAGGTGGCCGGAAAACGCCCTGACCCGCCGGAAGGAGGCGGCATTTTCCGGCGGGTCAGGGTGTTTTCCGGCCACCTCCGGCAAAATTGACGCCGCTCATCCCTTCCAATGTGTTCGTGGCATCACGGCGACGTCCAAGGAACCCTCAATTGCAAGATTTGATGGCGATTTGAAAAACTCCCAATTTTGGATTTTAGGGTTTTTTCAGGTGGAAAAATTCAAATTTGAGGAGTTACAGGCCAAATTGGACAAAATGATTTGGATATTCTTGATCCTCGTATCAAGACGAAGAGAATGGCGTTGGTCCCGTCGGAATCGAACCAGGTTGATTTTCCGGCGAGTTTGAGGTGGTGTGACGGCGGCAGGTAGCGGAAGAAAAAAAACAAAAGAAATGGGATCAAATTGAAAATTTTAAAATATATAAAATTCTAATTTGGCCCAAATGACCGGAAGTTAACCTAGAAACGGGCAAATGGACTTTTAGTGAAAGGATTGGGTAATTTCAGGGATTTTTTTGAAATGATTTGAAGTTTAGGTACCACTTCGAAATTCTAGCTAAAGTTCATGTACCATTGATGAAATTTACCCTAGAATACAGATAGGAGTGCAGTTGAGACAAGATTTCCGAGATGCTATTAAATTTGTGAAAGAGAGTGACAGAGTGGTTACACAAACTGTCATATGAATAATGCCCAAGGACTTGTACTTATTGCAAAAATTGGGTCATTCAGAGATGACTTGTAAAAGGAAGGAAATAAGAAATCTAGTGTGAAAGCTAAGATGGTTGGAGACCTAAACTACAGACAACTGATGAGGTGGAGAAGCCAAAAGAAAGAGAAATGGAAAAATACCAAAACTCCAGAAGGAAATAAGGAGGAAGGGATGACACAATTTAAAGAAATGGGTGAAAGTGAGAAGGATTTTCAAATGATGCCTAAAAAAAGCGAGGAAAGTGATATTAGAAAATGTGGTTGAGAAGGGTAGTGGAGTGGTGCTCAATGATATTCTACACAAGGCCCTATAAATTTAGCACTAGCCATTTCTTTTATGATCAGCAATTGAAACGTGAGAGGGCTAAATAGCCCCAATAAACAACTCGAATTAAGGCATCTCATCAAAAAACATAATATTGGCTTATTGGGTATGTTGGAAACAAGAATAAAGGAATGCAACTTCAAAGATTTTAGAGCTTAAGCTTTTCCCCGATTCAGGGTCATATTACTTATCATAAACACCACCAGCTTGGAAGAATTTGGATACTTTGGAATAAAAGGCAGCTTCTGATGTCTATCCTTGATGGGTCTGATCAGCTAATCCATTGTAAGGGCAGAAGAATTGGGATAGATAGCACGTTTTATATCACATTCATTTATGCCCATAATGATTGTAACCAGAGGAAGGGTATTTGGAATCATTTAGAGCAATTACATGAGGGAATTCTTGGTCCTTGGTGCATTATAGGGGATTTCAACACTACCCTTTCTACTAATGACCGTGGGAAGCACAGCTGCGGCAAAATACAGGCACCCTAAGCACCGTGCAGGTTTGGGTGTGGCGGTCGCGTGGGTGCACCTAAGGTGCGCAGTGGCACAGTTGGCGTACGCCTCTCGCCAGAAATCAAAGCGAAAACGGCAATGCCACTGGCGCACCTCACGTAAAACGGCAATGCCAAAGCAGAAGGCGGAAACAGCAAGCCTCTTCGCCATAGGAGCAAATGCCGCTCGTCATTAGTAACTATGGGTGCTGGGTAGAAGATTTTGGTGTAATGGAATAAAGCTTACAATATGAAATTGTCATGGGATCTGTGTGATAAAGATGCGTTATGGGTAAAAGTGTGAAACTGATTCACTCTGGGTACATCTAGGGATGGTTCAATCTGAAGCATTCAAGTCCATAACAACTCTTGTTTTTATTGGAGAAAACTGACTAAAGTTAGAGCGAATTTCAGAACCATGATCGGGGGTGATCAATACACTGCCAGTTTGCCACACAGTTACACACTAGAATATCTACATGGTTGCACTATAATTGGACTGCTAAGAACCTTAAGGAAGCTTTGGAGTTGTGTAAAGCAGAAAAACAGGAACTGAAGAGGAAGATACAAAATGCTGCCTTGGATGCAGTGTGTTATTATGTTTGGAAAGAGAGGGATTCAAATGTGCATAATAAGAACCCTGGCGACTTGGAGACTGCCGAATTTTTCCACCTGAAAATCTATATATTTTTGGTGTATATATATGACTTTAGAAGAATCCGTATGGATGAGCGTGTGATTAATGCATTCCCAAATCTGGTGCAAAGGGTTATTGGTGCAACATTTTTAAAAGTTCAAGGGGCATTGGTGTAATTTTTGATGTTCAAGAAAAGTTCATGCAATTTTTGAAAAATTCAAGGGTAAATGACACAAAAAACTTGTTACAGTTTGACAACTTTGATCCTTAGCTTGGTGGGTTGATGTTTAATAATATGTGCTTTACATTCCAAAAAAAAAGGTCTCAATAATTAATTGTTTTTTAAATAAACTATAGAGTGAAATCTCAAAACAGTCCTTTCTAATAAGGTGTTTCCCAAATTAGTCCTTTCTAATGGTCCTAAACCAAAAATATATATTAAATGTCAGTCAAATAGAAATTATTTTGTTATTTTCGATCATCTAGACTTATAGTATATTCTCGAAATACTTCTTTATAATAAAGTATTTTTCCAAACTAATGATTTCTAAGTAAATGTTTTTCCGAAATGGAAAATACATAAATACCCTCCATTTAACTGTCATTTAAAAGGCATTTTTATAGAAGACTATATACGTAAAACAATTCAACTACAAAGGACTATGTTAGTAATTATTACTTATTGAGGACTAATTTAGAAAAACGTCTTATTAGAAAGGACTTGCGAATTCACTCTAAACTAAATAAAGATTCGTGTGGGTGTAAGGCACTAACCATATACTCTCTTTGAGCTTTCACACCTGAGAATGTTTTTTCAGGTGCATGTATTTCACGATAAGATGGACGAATGCCATTCTGTGCAGTACCCATGTGCATAAAAACATTAGTGATTATAGGCAAGAGAATATTATCAAGTATGGATATATTTTTGCATTCAAACTTACTCCAGCTTTGAACTCAGACATCATGGTCTCATCAACTTCAAACGTTTCCAGATAAGGAACAATTGATGCAATCATATTACGTACATGCCCACGGCTCCCTTCCACGTCAACAATCACATCACCGGGGCAAAAAACTGATATGTTATCTGCATAGAGTATGCCAAGAATTAAGAACATTCATAGCTAAAGTAAGACCTAGCCTTTCGTCCCTGAGTATTTGCCCACTTTTGACTTTTTTCAATCAAAATTGGTAAACTTTAATCTCAAATTAAATAAAAATGATATTAGATATTGATACAAAATAGTTTTATTAGATTTATTACATCTAATATTTTCAAAATATTATTTTATCTAAATAATTTACAATATATACTCGTATTTTATTTAATTATATGTCAAAAATTGAAAATAGTTGACTGAAAAAAGTCAAAATTGGACAAATACTCAGGGATTGAGGTAGTAATATGAAGTAACATATGAATGAAAGAACATGCCACACCGGTTTATTACACACCTGTTAGATACAATTTAAGTCTGCACGGATTGGACTTGATTGTGTAGAGAATAATCAATCTTTTTGCAAATGAAGCTGGTACAAGTAATCTTGTTAAGCAGTTCTCATAAGGCATGGTGTGTAAAAAAGAACGGTGAACCTTATTAAAAGCATTAACATGAGCAATGGAGCGTCTAGGATCCCTTTTCGCTGATACCATAACCTATGAACAACAATTTGTATTACTCTCACATACAACCTGAACTTATATAAGTGACGAGTATTGGGCGAGTAAATGCATAAATAATTAATAAGGGTCCTAATACACCAATTGTAAATTCACAAGTATGAAATATGAGATACGCGGAAAGATATATGTCACATTCTCTTCGTCTTATTTTTTCAACTTGCTATTGATTGTTATTCAAATCAGATCAAATGAGTATAACCCAAATCATACCAAATCAGATCTGCATGTCTTTAATTTAAAGTATAATCAGATGACCACACCCGATAATGCACCACACTTCCTTATTTCAAAATAATTCTCTTTATGGATAACGAGATTAGCCTAAATTTATTTTCAATCCTTTTAATTTAAATATTAGTACATAGTTTGAAAATAAAAAAATATAACAAACCATATCAAATTCTCTATAAAACGAGAGGTGACATCACTATGTTATTTTAACTAACCATTCACAAAAATATGTACAGTAATAATGGAGTGAGACGATTAATTCAGGATGGAGGGAGTACACACTTGTATTTAAAAAAACAAAAAAAATTATAATCAAAGTTTGACATATAACAGAAGGCTTAACATGATTTCAAGGCCCCCACGCAAGTCTGGCATTCAAGCGGCACTTTCACTTTCAAAATCTAGAGTAAACCAATGCATGCTAAACATAGTAGTTCACACATAATAAAAAGCAGAAAATATCTACTGGGTATCCCGTATTTTGAGAAACTAATTGCCGGGTACCTCATATTTTCAAAATATACTCCAGGGTGCCCTCTATTTTTAGAAACTAACTAATGGGTACCTCCAAATATACATTAACTTACCCATAAGGGACATTCTGTTTCATTCGAAAGCTTCGATTAAACTCGATAGATTGTATCATTAAAGTATAAAAACTAAGGTTATTTTTGGAATTCCAAACCTCTAATTCTTAAAATTAATGGCGTAACTGGCTTTGACGAAGAGTAAGACGGGATGTCCTTCACGAGTAAGTTAATGTATATTTGGAGGTACCTCGGAGTATATTTTAAAAATGCGAGGTACCCGATAGTTAGTTTCTAAAAATAGAGGATACCTCAGAATATATTTTAAAAATATGAGGTACTTTAGTTTCTCAAAATATAGGGTACCTAGGAGCAATTTTCTCTAATAAAAAGCGGCATAATGAGACTTTACTTACAACTCCAACTCCAGTAGCTATGGAATGAAAATCCACTTCAACATTTTTCTTCTCAAAATGAGATTTCAGGTGACAAATATGACGCTTGTAACGATTAATGGCATCATCGTTGTTTGTGGGAATCAACATCCTAAAAACAATCCAACCTAGACAATTTTTATAATCGCCATCCAATAAATTGGATTAATGTTTCACACGCATATATACAAAAGCATTTGAAACTAACATTAGTGTAAATTCTATAAGGAACACAATAAATACATGACACACACACACACATAGGGGCCGGTTCAAGTGAGAATGCACCTTGGTGAAAGAAATAAAAATAAAATCTAGCATTTGGATATGATGCATCGTGCGACTCAGATTGGATCCTGCACTCAGATTTTGAGATAGTGTATTTTTAAAGGATTTTGGTGCATTTCGACGTGACACATTTTAAACCCATTTTAGTGCACCTAATTTTAATGCAATCCTGACCCTTAGATCTCACAATCTAAAGCACCAGATCATAGTTTGTAAGGCGGTAAGGCGAGGCGAGGCGCCAATATACCTTCATACTGCCTAGGCGGCTAGGCGGATGCACCTTGTGGAGAGAAATGAGAATGAAATCTAGCCGTTGGATCTGATGCATCCTGCAGCTCAGATTGCATCCTGCAAATCATTTTGTTGCATCTAATTTTGATGCAATCCTGACCCTTAGATCGCACAATCTAAAGCACCAGATTCATTCTCATTTCTCTCCTAAGATTGCATTCTCACCAGAACCAATATATATATATATATATATATATATATATATATATATATATATATATATATATATATATATATCCTTTATGTCCACTTTCATTTTAGCTCAAATACTGAGAAGGGAATAAATGAAGAGAGTTACTAAAATGCCCTTAAAAGCCTAATCTACAATCGAGATAAAATCTGTGAAGAGACAGTTGAGATCTAGAAGCCACGACGACGGCGACGACGGAGAAGGTCGAGATACGATGTTGTCGATCGAGAAGTGTTGGCGGCAAATTTATCACCAATATCTTAAAAGCAACAGCTGCAAGTGAGAAGCAATGGTGACGATAGCGAGGCGAAGAAGCCGACGGAGAAGTGATGCCGGCGATGGAATGGAGAATTGACCCCAATTAATCTGTCTCAGGGAGTGGTATATCTTTTGCTTAGAAATCAATGGTAAAGTCAATGAGAGGATATTTTGGATTTGAATTCGAGTGTTTATAGTGAGAGAGAGTTTTTAATACAGATCTAAAACTTTTTTATATAGAAAATGGCACAATCGCGATGAATATGGTGGCCAATTCAATTGAGTAAAGGGTTTTGAATTAGGGGCAAATTGGCCATTTGGAAATGGACAAAAACAATGGGTCAGATCGAAAGGGAAAAATAGACAAAAACAATGGGACGAAGGGAGTATATATATTTGGACTCGACTCCAGATAGACTACATTATGGTCAGATCACATGAAATGACACATTGTGTGTCATTCAATTTAAAGCTGACAATATTACAAAAATGTCATTTTGCTTTTGGGTTGGCTCACATTGTGTCATCTCATGTAATCATATCAAATTTCATCTCACTAGATGTGTTTGTGTATGAGAAGGTATATACCATCATTTACTGTTTTACACTATTTAACACTATTTAATCTCCACCATCCACTTGACCCAATTCTTTTCAAAGTGTGTGTGTGTGTATGTGTGTGTGGTAGACTCGTAGGCCACGATCTATTCCCACTACACACACGAGAGGAGAGACATAATGCATGACACCCAAGTAAACGTGTCCTCAACCTAATGGTTTGTGGCACAATTTGACATCATCTTTAGTTAACAAATTTCTGCCTCTAAGTTTCAAATCAGATGTGTTCATATAAACCTACCGTAAAATTGAAATATACNGGGGGATGTTCCTTTTTATATTTCATAGGGGTGGGCACGGTCCGTGATACTACGAGAACTTATCATGGATCACGCTTATTTAAACGGTATCATATGAAGACATTCCAAACTGAAATAATAGTGCAGTGTAAGAACACTATCATATAATAATGTTGTCAAAATATTCCTACTTCATAATTAAACTATTCCTCTCTTCTTTAATCAAATTTCAACCACATAGCCCAAGTTTTCCTCTTTTCTTACCAAGTTCCAGCCACATAACTTTGACTCTAGCATTTTTTTCTTAAAATCCGTGAAAACAACACATAAAGAATGAAATGAGACGAGGGATGAATAACACCATGTTTTGTTGGGCTTGAACCTAGAATAATGTCTTAGTGGTTTTAGGGTAGGGGTGATGATCACTTTGGAAGAGGGGATAATGCTAAAATGCTAGGTGAATGGGAGGATTCGTTGTCCACTAGTCTTATAGTCTCTACTTTGCCTGTTCTTACTATTGTAGTATCATTTCACATTTATGGACTTAAGTTATCATTATCCAGGAGTCAATTTCTTGTATTTTGGTTTGCATGCTCCCTATATGTTTGATGCAATGCAAGATGAACTTCTGAAGGCATACATATCACATAGTTTTATTGTGTTTTGCCTTCTCTTTCCTTTGAAGTGCGTAATTCCTACAATCTTGAGGGTTCACGCTTGAAAGATTATAATGGCTTGCTCTTTCGAGTTCCATCAAAGTGATATGTACATCACCGGTTTCAAAATAATCACAACAGTTTAAACTTTACATTATTCAGGCACACTCATTTGACTATCCTTTCTGATCGCTATGTACATGAAAATACACTCAGGGAATATCTTGTTAGATTCGTCTCTATAAATACTTCCATAATACCAATGATCAATCTTTTTTATTTTTCTAGCTTAACTTCTCAAATTGTATATACCTTGCGTCTAGTGTCCTTTGGATATAGCCTCTCAACATAATTTAGTTAGAGAGAGGCTTTATGCTATGTTGGGTGGATTTTTCAAATAAATGCCGCTTCCCTTCTCAAATTTGGTATTTGGAAACAATATTTGTGACTAACACCAATGTTTTGGATACATTTTTTACGGTGCACGTTAACTTTGAAAATGCTAAAAGCTTAATAAAGAAATGTATGAGGTGAAGAAATGCTGAAAAAATAATTAAAGATGAGCATGATTAGCAATCCAAGTAAAAGATATATGTACTGAAAAAATTGATATCAATTTGGTATATAATATATGTATACACACTTCCGAAAATTGTGTGATGCGTGAACTTGTTTTGGCATCCTAACCGTACCTGGTGTGAGCTCATTGCATTTACCAATGGCATATGGATCCTGTGTAGCAAGATTCGGCTCCACCAACGATTTTCTTTTGGTGGATGGACCTTGTGTATCAACATTCAGCTCTTGGGATAATTCTCTTTTTTTGGTATATGTACCATGTGTATCATAATCTCTTTTCTACACAATTCACCAATATTTGTCATAAAAAGTGGAAAGTTAAGGGTAAACACAAAATTGTACCACAAAATCAAGGTAGATGAAAGTATGAAACAACTCGGTTTAACACAAAGCCTTAATAATGTTGATATCATATTATTGTGTCGGCCAAATTGAGGGCCAAATTGAGGCACCTATGATGCTACAATCCAATAGTTGATGGTTTTATGTTTTGAAAAGGTACACTACTTATTTGTACGTACGTACGTACGTACATACATACATACATACATACATACATACATACATACATACATACATACATACATACATACATACATACATACATACATACATACATACATACATACATACATACATACATACTACATACATACATACATACATACAGGGTCCGGTTCACCTTGGTGAAAGAAATAAGAATAAAATCTAGCCTTTGGATCTGATGCATCGTGCGGCTCAGATTGCATCCTGCACTCAGATTTTGGGATAGTGCATTTTCAAGGGATTTTGGTGCATTACGACATGATGCATTTTCAAACCATTTTGGTGCACCTAATTTTGATGCAATCTTGACCCTTAGATCTCACAATCTAAAGCACTGGATTCATTCTTATTTCTTTCATAAGATCGCATTCTTATATGAACCAAAATCTATATATATATGTGTGTGTGTGTGTGTGTGTATGTATGTATGTATGTATGTATGTATATAGGGGCGAGTTCACGTGAGATTGCACCTTGGTGAAAGAAATAAGAATAAAATCTAGCATTTGGATCTGAGCATCATATATATGTGTGTGTGTGTGTGTGTACGTACGTATGTATGTATATATATGTGTATGTATGTATATATATGTGTATGTGTGTGTGTGTGTGTATAACGTAGTTAGGTCTCGACAACCAACGTAAAACTGTGTCGAATCTTCATGACATGGATCAAATACGATATTCATTAAAGCTAGGTTGTTGCCTAGAAGCAACGCACTGTATGGCTCTAGTATAGTGACAAATGAGCTAGGGTCGCTGCATTGGTGCTCGGGTGTAGTGAAAAATAAGCAAGGGTTCTCACATTTAGGTGAACGGACGTGGGTAAATAAGCTAGTTCGCAAAGGTAAAGGTAAAGGTAAAGGTCTTGCGGCTTGGGACATGGAACATAGGCACTCAGGTAAGTCTATGGAATTAGTGGATACTATGATACGGAGAAGGATTAATACTCGTCAGACTTCAAGCTATGGTATACAAGAAAGGTGAAGAACAGAAATGGAGTTGGGATCATTGCAGATAAACAATGGAAGAAAGACGTGGTCGATGTTCAGAGGGTGGGAGATCGGATCATTTTATTAAAGCTGGTAGTAGAAGGACATGCTCATCATGCGGTTAGTACCTACGCACCACAAGTGGGTTCAGAGAAACACCACAAGGTTTTGGGAAAACCTCAAAGTGTAATACAAGGTATACACCATTAGGAGATAAAGTTTTCTTAGGAGATAAAAACGGACACGTGGGTAAGGATGGAAGTGGGTATTAACAAATCCATGGAGGGCATGGCTTTGGGGTAACAAATGCAGAAGGTAAAACCATCTTAGATATCTCTTCGACCTTCTCGCTTCTTATTGTAAACACTTGTTTTCAGAAGCTACACGAGCATCTTATAACTTGTTAGAGTGGGAGGACATGGTCTCAAATTGATTTCTTTCTGCTAAGGAAATCGAATAAAAAATTTTGTACTAATTGCAAAATTATTCCAGGAGAGAGTTTTACCACCTAACATAGAATGCTAGTTATGGATTTTCGTATCCAACGAAAGGTAAGGAGAAGTCACTAAGAGGGGAACCTAAGGACTAGATGGTGGCACTTGAAGGGTGATAAGCAAATGGACTTGCCAATCCGTTTAGTAGACGAAGCAAAATGGGATGTACATGGAACTGCGGAAGAGTTATGGTCCGATATAGCAGATATTATTAGGAAGGTGGCAAAAGATACCCTTGGAGAAACTAAAGGTACTAATGCAAGAGACAAAGAATCATGGGGGTGGGACACTGGTGTGCAAAAGAAGGTAAAGTGGGAATGTTTCAAGGAGTGGTCTTTATATCGGGATGTGGAAAGTTCGGAAAGGTATAAGATAGCTAAGATGAAGACAAAAGTGGTTGTAGGTGAAGCAAAATTGAGAGCATATGAAGGGTTTTACCAGTCTTTGGGTAAGAAAGAAAGGGAAAGACGTATTTACAAGATTGCAAAAGGTCAAGAAAGAAAGATGCGAGATTTGGACCAAGTTAAGTGCATTAAAGTGGTGAAGTTTTGATTTCTGATGAAAGCATAAACGGCTGGTGGAAGAGCTACTTCAATGATCTGTTGAATGAGTAGCATGTGAATCTCTCAAGCTCCGATCGGCTACACACGAAGGGGGGACCAAAACTTCAATTATTATCGAAGAATTTGAGAAACTGAAGTTAAGGAAGCCCTAAAACAAATGAAGAATAGCAGAGCAGTGGGCCTAGACAATATTCCGATTGAAGTTTGGAAAGGTTTATGAGGAAAAGGTATTTGCTGGCTAACTAAGCTTTTTAACGAGATTTTAAGATCTAAGAAGATGCCTATCGAATGGAGGAAGAGTCTTTTGGTTTTTATTTACAAGAATGAGGGAGATATTCAAAGTTGTAGAAACTACAAAGGGATCAAACTTATGAGTCATACAATGAAGTTATGAGAAATAGTGGTTGAACAGAGGTTGAGACAAGAGACTTTGGTGTTAGAGAACCAATTTAGTTTATGCCAGGAAGATTGACTACAAAGGCTATATACTTGAAGAGAAGAATGATGGCGAGGTACCGAAGTAAAAAGAAAGATCTACACATGGCTTTTATTGATTTGGGAAAGGCATATGGCAGGGTAGTGAGAGAGGTTTTGTGGAAGGTGCTAGAGAAAAAAGGAGTAAGAATTGCTTATATTCGTGCGATTAAAGACATATACGAGGGGACTACAACGAGTGTGAGAAGTCAGACTGGGATAACAGAGGAATTCCCCATCGGTGTAGGATTACACCAAGGGTCATTGTTAAGCCGATATCTTTTTACACTAGTATTGGACGTTCTTACCGAGCATATCCAAGAATCTATACCAAGGAGCATGCTAATTGCCGATGACATCATCCTTATGAGCAAATCACGAGAGGATTTGAATGAGAAGTTGGATTCATGGAGATAGGCTTTAGAGTTGCATGCCTTGCGTATAACTCGCACTAAAACGGAGTATATGGAGTGCAAGTTTGGCAACAGAAAGAGAGACAGTAACATTGAGACAAAAGTTGGAGAAAAAACTATACCACAAGTAAATAGATTTAAATTTCTTGGGTGTATCATTCAAGATAATGGAGAAATACAAGATGATATTAATCACAGGATTCAAGCCGATTGGTCAAAATGGCAGAGTGCTTCGGGCTTTATATGTGACAAAAAAATACCTTTAAAACTAAAGGAAAAATTTTACTGTACTGCTATTAGACTAACTATATTGTATGGACAGAGTGTTGGGCAACAAAGGATGAACCTAAACACAAGGTTAGTGTAGCGGAAATGAATATGTTTCGTTAGATGAGCGGTCATACGCGTATAGATAGAATAAGGAATAGAGATATGAGAGCTAAAGGTTGAGTGGCACATATTATAAGAAAAATAGTAAACACTCGTCTTAGATGGTTTGGACATGTGGAGAGAAGACCAATAGAACATCACGTGAGAAGGGTTGACCAAATAGTGAATATGCATGTGGATGGAAGAAGAGGTAGACCACTTGGCAAGCATTGATAAAGGGAGACCTTCGTGCGGACGATCTCACAGCATATATGATACACAATAGGGTGCAATGATGTTGTTTGATCCATATAGCCGACCCCACATAGTGAGAAAGGCTTTGTTGTTGCTGTAGTTGTATTTCTTACAATAACGCCATTGGGGCATCTATGATACTCCGTTAAAAAAATTGATTGTTCAAAATTGATTGTTCCTCCCCCTGTAGCCCCCGGATACCCTACGTCATGGCCCAGCCCGCACCCCACATCCTTTTTAGTTGCAATACCTATCACTTTGGTCAAATATTTAACCATAAAGTCAAAAAACAAATATTTGTAGAATCCGAGAGGATGTGAGGGTGCGTAAGGGCCGGGCCAAGACGTGGGTGTTTATGGGGTTGTGGGGTGTAGGATCAATCATCGTATGCCCAAATTACATGGTTGTAAAAAACATTGTCGTAAGAATAGATCCCTTCAAATTTATAACACGAAACTAGCTCATGAGAATACAAAATTTACATTTATATACAATAATGGAGATTGTAGGGGACAAAGAGAAAAACATACATCGGATTCGGCAAGGCTGTGACCCAATTCACTGTGGTTCCTAACATGGCCGCTCGGCGTTGCCTCTGTATCTATCATCGCTCTTCTGATCGATTTTATTTATTTCCGATAGCTTAACACAGATTAATTTAGAACGGAATGGAACCCCTCTCCTTCTTCCCTGTCGCGCTTCTCTATCCTTTTATTCGCCAAACTTCCGAGGAGGGTACTTCAACATTCTCGATTGTGGGCCTGAATCCTAAACAAATTGGGCTTGGCTCAATATCGGGTACAGAAAGCCCACTCTACAATTCAACCTTTTTGTTTGAACATGCAATTCAATATACTCCATTTTAATTCACAAGTGAAGCCAAAAACATATATCCTGAACAAGGCTCTACATAAACCATTGAACATGAGAGGCTCAGAGGGTGTGCAAAGTGGCCAACCGCACTGGGCACCTTAAAATTTAGGACACCATATTTTTAAATTTGTTAATAATTTTAAAGCAAAAGTATTCTAAAAATATAAAATAAGGCACAAAATTTAAATTTTGGACCGGACCAATTTTATTTTTTCATTTTTTGGGGCCGGCTCTGCCATCGAAAATTTAATTGCGTGGCTCTTTATATGAAAAATATCTGGTTTATTATCTGTATTCGATTTGGGATATCTGATCAGTAAATAGATTCAGATTTGGTAATCATACTTCGGATCCGTTTATAATCTGCTACGCATTGATATCCGTTTAAATAACTGTTTACCCATGTATTTGATCCGTTATATAAATTTTTTTCTAGCTTTTTATTTTCATATTTTATTTCTTTGTTGATATCGCAAAGTACGCGATATTTTTATATGCAAAACTAGATTTGTACTCTGTGCATTGCACATGGAGATTTTTTTCTTTTTCGAACAAGAGGTAGACAGAGCAACGATTAATTTAGTTATGATTTACTTGTTTATGACTTGTTTGAAATGTATTTGTTTGGTTTGATGAAACTTCGAATCATTCTATTCATCGAGCCTTTTCTTTATAGCTTTGCAAAAAAAAAAATTATATAAGTAACATATCATGTTAACTTTTGACCTATGTGATGAATTTTGTTACTTTCGTGCATGACATACTAAAATATGTATATTCTTTGTATTATGTATGTATTCCTTGAGAATATGATATAACCAGTGCGCGGATCCAGGATTTTATTTTACTGGGGGCACATGACTTTTAGAGTTAAAAGTATAAAACACTTTGACCATAAAATTCAAAACGATTGTTTCGTTCTGATTTACCATTTTGAAATGTTATATTTTTATTTAAAAATTAAAATATAAATTTTAAATAAAAATATAAATGGTTAAAGTGTCACATTCAAGTGAGAGCATTATTTTGGGCAAAGAAAGTAGAACCAAATAAGCCACACTATGACATTCATGTTTTTTTCTCTAAAAAATCTATAATGTTAACATATACTACCTTCACCCTGGAGTATTTTTCCAGTTTTGACTTTTTTCGTCAATCGTTTTCAATCTTTGACTTATAATTAAATATAATATGTATTGTATATTAATTAGATAAAATAATATTTTGAAACAACAACAACAACCTAGTTGAATCCCACAACAATATTTTGAAAATATCTTATATAATAAATCTAATAAAATTATTTTTTGTATTAATATCTAATACTATTTTTATTTAATTTGGGATTAAAGTTTACTAATTTTGATAAATAGAATAAAAAATAGATAAATATTTCAAGACAGAGAGAGTAATATCAAAAAATTAATACATTATACAATGTAAATTTGAAGTACCAAAATGTTACTAGTATATTGCAATTATCTTATTTGGAAGATAAATAGGCGAACTGGCGAGTGCAAAAGAACCTTAGCTAAAGGCCACTTGGGTGTGGATCAGAGAAATAAAAAGATACTCCCTCCCTCCCAAAAAGTTTGTTACGTTTTGAAAAAACTGCGTCACGTAAAGTCCGTTACATTTATATTAAAAAACCACTTTTACCCCTTACTTTTTCTTACACTACCTATCACATCATACCTTTTTTCTAATAATTTACCCATCACATCCTACTTTTACCCATCACATCAAGGGTATTTTTGAAAAGTCAATACCAAAATATCTCTCCCTTAATTTCCCAAAAAGTCAAACCGTCCCATTCTTTTTGGGACGGAGGGAGTACAAACGAGAGGTCAAAAAAATGATTGGAGAGTGCTATTTATGGAGTATTTTTTGAGTTGCCAATTACGTCCCTGAGTATTTGTCCACTTTTATTTTAGCACACCATCCAATGCACTTATTTAATCCATTTTATTTTGTAATTTGTATATTAAAAAATTATAAAAATTATATATTAATAATTTATATGTTAAGACGAATCAAACAAGATCACACATGACTATTTTTAGGCTTATACATTGAGAGAATTTGATAAGTCAAAGTACTAAGATGAACAGTTCTAAAAATCAAAAGTGGACAAACACTGGGGAACAGACCAGTAGTCAATAAGAGCATTAGGCTAGCGCTAGGCCTGGCTCTTGGAAAAGTAAATCCTTTGATAATTTTAGTGGGTGCATCCGTGCATATGGATTTTTCCACGGGGGGCAGCCCTTTCATTGTAAAACCTGAATAGTTGACTGGGGGTAGTTGCCCCCATTATCATCAAGGTAGATCCGCCAGTGGATATATAATTACAGGTGTAAATGGTCAGATGTATCATTACCAAATTCTTATTCGTTTTTTATCAGATATCAAATTTGATTACAAATCTTGCCGAATACTAAAAATCAAAATCGTATCTGCATCCGTCACAGTATCTGTTTACAATTTTTAAAGTAAAATTGAAAAATACTTAATTTCAAATTAAATTAAAGTTATAATACTATTCATTCAATTATCATATGTTACGGAGTAATTTTTTCTTATTGTTTATACTTTATACGGAGTAATATTCTACGATAACTTCATATAGTAAAAAGATATACACAATACACATACACACATATTTTTATGTGTGTATACATATTTTTAAATATCTTTACATATATTTTGCATATAAAATTGTCTTATACTTTGAGATGTCATTAGAAAAATAGAATATAATGATAATTAAATAGGAAAAATTATATAAAACGGATCGGATAAACGGTTACTTAAACTGGTGTTTATGCGGAGCGAATTATAAACGGATCGGATTTATAATCAAATATAGATAATAATCGCTTTTAATAAATACGAATATTTTCCGCATAAATGGATACAGATCCAGAGGGTAACTGAATTTTCATTTATCCATTTACAACCCTAGATATAACTTAGTAATAGACCTGACAAAAAATGACCCGATCTATTTTTGACCCAAAAACCGATATATATATATATATATATATATATATATATATATATATATATATATATATATATATATATATATATATATCCGTCCGAAAATGTTCTTCCCATTTAATTTTTTATGGTCTCCAATAATATACTTTGACCATTAATATCTATATTTATACTTAGAGATATTTTATAAAAAAATTGATATTTCAAAACTATGTTTCATTAGGAATATATTTATATTAAGTTTATATCATTATACAATATTTTTTAAAAAATTGGAGTCAAAATTTACAAATTTGATCAACAATAGTCAAATATGAAGAACATTTCTAGTCGGATGGACTAATGTGTAACATATATGCATAAATGTATAAACACTTTCTTTCGGTTAAGATCTATGCATTTTAATTGATCTACATACTGAGTAGGATGGAATATAATTTCATTAATTTGGCCCTATCATTTACTCGTAATGAATGTCAACCAATTTTGAACACCATTTTTGAGCTGAATGGTGTTGAAGTTAAATTCTCTTTAGTTTTTTAACCACTGTAAATATCCAACAGATGACCCCTAAATTAACTTAAATTGCCACTCACATTGGCTTTTGATACTATTTCATATATTTCATATTTCTAAAAATAAAAATCCTTTCAATTTTAACCATTGTTTCATATTTCTAAAATTAAAGATCCTTTCTAGGAATTCATATCATTTAATACTATTTCAAACTAAGTCCAGCATTCGCCAAAATTTTTTTAGAATGTATGCGATTGGGGACACAAGACTAGTGTGTATCATAGTTTTAAAAACCGGACCGGACCGAAAACCTGTGGTCCAATCGGTCCGGTCTGGCCCTTTAGACCATAACATGCATCGAACCGGTGGGAATTGGTGTAAACCGGCCGGTTCAACCGGCCGAACCAGTTTTTTTTCCTTTTTTTTAATTTTTACCAAAACATGCAACGAGGGGTTTGAACCGAAAACCTCTTTGAGATTTGGTTGAATTTCTAACCATCCAAGCAAGGATGCTTTTTGTTAAAAAATTACTTATTCCTTTATAATATTTCATAATTAAAAAAAGATTGTATAAAATTTGTTTTTAATTTTAAAAATATAATATTACTAGTATTAACCCCGTGCTTCGCATGGGCTCAAATATATTCTAAATTTTTACATAAAAAATAAAATATTATTTATTTTAAATTCTTTAATAATGATATATGATGTGCTTGATAAGTAATTTCTAACTGTGTAAAAGTTTTACACACATGTAATGGTCATCAAATAAAAAATAATGAAAATCGTTTTAATTAATAAAAATTAAAATAAAAATGTCAAATATATTAATTAAGTAATGACACATCATTAGAGAATTCCATTCATATCTATCATGTGCCACATGTAATCCTTTAATTAAACTTTCACTCTGTTTAATTTGCTAAAAAATATGTAATAAAATAAGTAATGTAATACTACAAAAGATTAAAATATGTTATGAACTTAATAAAGATGCATGTGTGATACAATTTGTATATAATAGTTTCTTTTGAGATGATGGGTAATTTTTAAAATTATAAGAAACATTGTTTTTTAATTAATAAATTTTATATAATTTTTTTATTATTATAAAATAGTCGTGCATATTTTAAAAATATGTTAAAACAAAAAACAAATATTTCTAAAATAGTTAGAAAGTGAAGATTTTATAATAAAGAACAAACATAAGGATTTTTTTATTGTTGGAAGGGGAAGGGTTTATAAAATATAATAAAAAATAATGATTTAATATAAAATTAAATACGCATGTGTGGAGTAACATGTGTCTTGTGATTTACATGTGGCATGACACATGTCAGCCGTATGCACGTGTGGCATGACACGTGACATCACCACAA